CTTCATATGTTCACCGATAGATACTGTGTCCTTTTACTTGATTTGTGTATGTAAATTGACAGGAACACAACTTGATACATTATCCACATTTAATAACCAGTTTCATCCACTGAATAGTCTCTCCTCACTGAAAGATACATCATCAAAGTAGTACATGTGTTACCTCTCTTTCTGAACTCTTTATTCCAGTGATCATTCTATCTGTTCCTATGCCAATAATACAATGGTACTTAATTTCTACATATGAGTAATGCTACACTCCTGCTTTTCTGCCTCAAAAGTGTCTTGACTATTCATCTTATTAAATACCAAGAACAAGCTTATTGGAATTTGTATTGAATTTCACTGAATCTAAAAGATTTTGAGAAAAACTGCTATGTTCACAATACTGTATTCCTGCCCATGAACAGGATATATTTATTTAGGATGATATAATAATTCGTCACAATTTGTGTGTGTGTGTGTGTGTGTAGGGGCCTTGAATATTTTTGTTAGATTTATTCCTAGACATAAATGTGACATTCTCTGACTCTGCTGTAAACGATGTTTGTCTTAGTTACATTTCTTGATGTTTGTTGATGACATACAGAAATAGAGGTGACTTTTGTATATTAATCTTCTTTTCAAATATTTTGCTAAACTCTTATTTCTAATAATTTATAGTCTTGGGGTGTTCTTTGCAAAAAAAAAATCATGCTACTTAAAAATATGAAGTTTTGGGGCGCCTGGGTGGCGCAGTCGGTTAAGCGTCCGACTTCAGCCAGGTCACGATCTCGCGCTCCGTGAGTTCGAGCCCCGCGTCGGGCTCTGCGCTGATGGCTCAGAGCCTGGAGCCTGTTTCCAATTCTGTGTCTCCCTCTCTCTCTGCCCCTCCCCCGTTCATGCTCTGTCTCTCTCTGTCCCAAAATAAATAAATGTTGAAAAAAAAATATGAAGTTTTATTTTCTCCTTTCCAAATTTCTTGCTTCTATAATTTGTCTTTTTGTGCTTATGAAACTCTCAATAAAATATTAAATAGAAGTAGTGTTAGTGAACATCCTTCTCCTAGTTCTTACTTTTTTAACTAGGTAAAGACTTTATTAATCATTCTTTTAAACTTCATATTCTGGCTTCTTTGACTTAACTAACTACAAACAAATAATGGCGTATAAGCAATAATTAAAAAGCAGAATTTAAAATACTATAGGTTTCTATACTTCAACATTATATATATTCATCCTAAACACAAAATTTTAAAGCAGTCAAAATTATTGAAGCTTTATTATTTTTTTACACAAATTTAGTCAATTGTTTGCCTAATTACTGGAAGCCTCATCAAAATCCTGAACAAGATCACCCTTCTCCCCAATAGCAAGTGGTGCTTTTCCATCCAGCCACTGCGGTGTCCTTAAGCTTTGCAATACCACACTGGTCTAAGAAGCTGGGTGGCATTTCTGTCAGCTGCTATGTCTTGACACGGCTGGTAATGGTAAAAATGTTTGCTTCTAGAAATGTCTGAACATTAGGATTATTAAAGTAGATAACCATTCCCTAGTCTGCAAATATACTTACCTCCTTAATATCAGAGATACTGTTTATTCTTAGTTTCTTTAAGAAGAACTGAAAAATGATATCACTTATTATAACAGATATTTGTTATGTCATCTGTTACTCTGTATACCATCTCAGGGCAGTTCTTTTTTACCACTGCATAATAATGTCTGATGTCTGCAAGCTTCTCTTAGTTTATGATAGGTTCTTACATCTTGTTGGAGTAGAAATGAGGCTTTGTGGGGGAATGGGGTTGCACCCAAATGGTCTTAGGCAGACCAGCTGAGATTTCAGTTCCTGATATTAAAGAGAATGATTCTAATATTTACCTATCCAGAATAGTATTTTATCTAGTGTATTTTAAAAATTAAGATTAAGGAACTTCCCTTTTGTTCTCAATTTACTTATCCTTTTAAAAAACATCATGAATATGTATTAAATTTTATCAAATTCTGCACTGAGGTTTTTCTCTTTAAATCTGCTAATGTGGTTACACATATTGATTTCCAGTATGAAACCATCCTACCACACATGGGACAAATCCAACTTGGACATATCCTGTTATCTTTTTATACATCATGAAATTTCATTTGCTAATATTTTGTTGAAAAATTTTACATGCATATCCTTGAGTGAAATGGAACCATAATTTATTTTCTTATATTTTTGGTACCTAGCTCATGGTGGCCTCAAAGATGAATAAGAGAATTCCTATCAGTTTGGCTTTAATGAACAAATGGAATTATGAACAGCCTTTCGGAACAAACCCATTTTACATAAGTCGAAGAACTTCAGAATTAGCTACAACTTCTAATTCACCTTGGTCTCAAATTTAAAATTATAGATCCTCAGGCCTAATGAAAAATTTTGGATTTTTAATAAGCACCTCAAATGATTCTGATAAAAATGATCTACTGCTCATGCTTTGAAACACACCACCAGGGAGAGGGAGCTCCTGGCTTCCCTTTGCTGTCACAGCAGTTCAGAGGAAGAGTTAAGATAGGCCCACCAAGACTACATGATGAAGCTTCTATTGAAAGAGTTGAAGAGGCTAAATTCTCTTGCCTCTCCATAACTTTTCTTAGGAAAGATGACCATGGTTTGCTCAGGAGAGGCACTGGTAATGCCTTTTGTTCCAACATAATTAGTAATCATTTCCTTACTCACTTTAAACATGTTTTATTTAGCTCTCCTTTGGAAGCCTTCATATTATAGTCTCTTTTCTTTTTTATCCTAGGATAGGCCCAAGAACTGCCTCAGGCTTGGATGACCTCTCCTAACCCATTAAATCTTTTCTCCCAGTTCTAAAGGCTAGTAAAAGAGTTTGAGAAAGCATGGGATGGGGATAAATTTATGCCTAAGACGGGACTAAATATACTGGCACTTCACACTATTCAGATCAGTTCACAAGGTGCAGAATCTACAAAGGAATTTGAGCCAAAGTGCTAACATGTAACAATATTATAAACATTTATCTTGCCTGTAAAAATCCAGGACAGCCTTGGTAAACTGGGAAGATTCCTGGTTTAATTTAAACCACAGGGAGGGAAAGATAATATTCCTATCACAACACAATAAAAATAATAAATAAATCTTAGATTCTACTTTTCCATACTACTCAGGTCCAAAAGGAAATGTGCCAGTTGAGAAATGCAGGTGGTCTGAGAGGTACTACTGATGTGAAATGTCTAATTTCAAATACCCATTTCTTTTCATGATTCTTTTCTCTGAAGACAAGGTCTCTACCTTCACCTCAACCAAAGTTCATGACAAACCTATTTATTTTCAGAAGTCAAATATACATAATAAAATCCATGACTAAATATTCTATCCTATTGAAGGAGGATGGTGGAGGAGTAGGAGGTCCCTAGGCTTGCCTTATCCTACGAATACAACTACATAACTATCAAATTATCCTAAATACACCAGAAATCTACCTGAAGAGTGGCAGAACAAATTCCACAACTAAAGGTAGAGAAGAGGCCACAGTGAAGAAGGTAGGAGTATGGAGACAAGACCTGGAGAGAAAAGGATCCTGGCCACTGCGATGGGGAGGGAGCTGCGGTCATGGAGGAGGGAAGAGACAGACAAGCACACAGGGAAGCACATGGGGAAAATGAATCCCTGGAGCAACTGGCTTGGAAAGGGAGAGCATCCAAAGTTCATGAGTTCTTGCAACCAGTGAGGCCTAAATAAAGCCTGGAGTTGTAAAGGTTAGCATGCTTACCTCTGGGAGAACTCAGAGCTATCCTATCCTTCAATGAACAATGTATAACAGGTATTTAACATGTTATCCATATATTTCAAAGAATTATATAGACTTTTAAGTTCTCATATTGAAAATAAGACCATTGGCAGTATCTTACGTAAAAACTTACAACTTCACTTACTCATGAAACAATAAATTTGTGGAATAAAGTTGAAAAATTAAAGGCATCAATCTGAAACATGGATAGATATTTCCTATGTCTATATTATCTAGGTTTGAAAATCTCCTCAGTTCCAACACCCCACCATGACTGCCAAATATTTTTCTGCAATCACATTTTTACTTTTCTTTCTCTACAATTCTATTACACCACCACTACCTCATCATCACCATCACAACAATAGCAGCAGCTATGTGTTGAGCGCTATGTGCCAGGCACGGCTATGAGAGTATGAAGTGTGAATTAACTCATTTAATCCTCATAATATCTTTTGAGAAAATAAATATTATCCCTAACTACATACATGAGACAACCAAGCACGAGAGAGGCTAAGCTAGTAAGTGGCAGCATTGGTATTTGAACTCAGTATTAACTTTCCATTAGAGTTGTCTCTCACAAATCACCTCCTCACATCTCTAAAATTCTGCTTCTGGGTTACACGATATCATTTCTCTCCGTTTGGAAGTTCACTTAACATGATGAAGTTAGATGAAAAGTGTCATTAAAACGTTCCCCTGTTCAATAATCTAGTTCACCTAAAAGTTAGTTATAAAAATCAGGTCAAATGTGTACAAACCACGTATTCAAGGTTTTTCTCAATCTATACCCATCCTCTCTTTCTGGCCACATTCCCAATTTAGCCCATCACATGAATACTAAGCAAGAGCTAATTGGAGCTATATCTTATCCTCTCACAGGGCCTAATACAATGCCCAGAACATGACAGGTATCAAAAATGTTTGCTAGATTAATGACTAAAAGGCTTCATGATTTTTCTGATACTGAGCCATAGATTTTATAACACTAAGGTTCATAGTGCTCACAAAGACATTTCTTTATCCTTCCTTTATAATAAGATAGTGTTAATTATTTAAAAATTTAAAAATTCAAAAATTCACTCCTGACAAAATAAGGCAATTCAGAACATGGAAATCATAGTTTTCTCTTTAGCAAAAAAAAGTAGCAAGTTGCAGTTATACCCAACAGTGTGATTAAAGAAATGAAAGTATTCTTAATATTACCAAGAATGTTATTGCTAACCTGTTGAGGAGTTATGGTATCTCTATAGCTTGGTAAAATTTTTAGGGTGACACTTCCACTAATATTTTTCAATAATTCTTGTAATTCCTTTGGATTGTTTCCAACCTCATGGCCATTGACTTCTTTAATGATGTCTCCCACATGAAGCAGACCTTGTCGATCTATCATTCCCCCATGAAGGATTCGGGCAATTACCAGGTCATTATTTTCGACCCTAAATGTTACACCCTAAAGGAAATAAAAAACAGAATTATCACTGATTTTATATTATCAGGAAGAAATCATAAATATTCATGAATATGTATATAAAAAACTAATACTAAAAGTAGGTGAGTGAATTGTTCCCATTTTTTCCCATGTTCTCTCCTCTCCCAATATCCTATTTTCTTAAATATTTTTTTAATGTTTACTTATTTTTGAGAGAGAGAGAGAGAGAGAGAGAGAGCGAGAGCGAGAGAGCATGAGTGGAGGAGGGGCAAAGAGAGAGGGAGACATAGAAGCCAAAGCAGGCTCCAGGCTCTGAGCTGTCAGCACAGAGCCAGATGTGGGGTTTGAACTCACAAACTGTGAGATCATGACCTGAGCTCAAGTCAAACACTTAACCGACTGAGCCACCCAGGTGCCCCAATGCCTTCACTTTTTAATAACTTTCTTCTGTATTTTGATACTATAATTAGCAGGCAACTTGAGTTCATTTCTTCAAAGGGTATAGGAAGAAATGGAGTATCGTTATCTCCTGTAATTTTTGCTGCCCATTAGCAAACTTCTGGCCTCTATTCAGTTTAACTTTTTTTTTTTGTTTAATTTTGTATGCTATATTAAGTTGAGAGAGCATCAGTTGTGTATTTATATACAAGCCAAAAAACACTGATAAAACAGATAAACATGAATTAAAATTTTCATAGTAATACAAATTAGGAAAAAGAAAAAAATGAGATAGTGAATAAGCCACAAATATGTCAGATTTCAAATTTTAAAAGGCATTGATATATCTACTCACCAATGGCTCCCCAGCTCTTTTGTGAATACCAAGAATACGAATGGCATCTACTGGTAATAACTGATTATTGATAGAAGAATTATTCATTTCTGGGCTTGATGGAGGTGAATCATAACATTTTGATGCCACAATATCATGGGCCTCCAAGAGTGACTATAAGGATTCAAAACAGCCTGTGGTTATTGGTTATTGATGGAATAAGTTATTAAAAAATAAAAAGTTAATTATCCCAGTGGAGTGCTAAAATACTCCGAGGCACACATTATTAAATTCTAAAATATGAGTTAAATCAAAGACAACAGAACCTTTTAAAGAAATATAAATAGTTTCAGTAACATAAATAGTATTATATTCCTTGTTTTAAAAGATTTGGAGAGATTGACAGAGTTTTATGATTTTTTTAAAAAAATGTTCAGAGGAAACTGAACCTAGTCTTCAAAGTGAGGTGCACTGAAGGCACTGGCTTTCACTGCTGCCATTGTCATCAGCAATATCATCATTATTTATCATCAATCCCTGTTTATTAGGTATCATACAAATTCAAATGGTACAGACCCTCATTTTTACTCTAAAATTGTCATATTAATTCTTTACAGGAACAAAATGTCTGCTAAAAACATATCCAATAGAAAATGGATAAATATTTGCACATCAGTGATAAGAGATGTTCTATTACTGAGAAAGGCTTAGTCTGTAAAACATATATTTTAAGGGAAAAAAAAAACTAATGAGCTAGTAATGGTCCTGAATATAATTTTACCTCCTACATTTACTATGTGCTATCATAAAGGATGACTTTGATCTAGCTTTCTAGGAATTTCTTACAATTTTTTGTGTATTTATTTTAGTTTTTCATTTATACTATAATTGTGTATACCCAACATAAAACTGAGCTAAAAAGTTATTTTTGTGAGTGGATGCAATGCAAGTTCAAAGACAAATCAAAATAGAAAGAAGGAAGAAAATGTCAACAGATTCAGAATAGAAGCAATCAGGATATGAGTTTAATTGGTAATTTCTGGTCATTTCATGAAAATATGCGGTAAGTGACTAAAGAAAATTTCCAAAAGAAAAATTCACTAATCCACATGTAAAGATTATTCTTATAGAAGCTAGAAGGTGCTGAAACCTCTAACCTGGGCTGTTTAGTTTTCATCCTTTGCCCTCTTCTTAGGTAATATTATCTACTCCTGTGACTGCACCACTACTTACACATTGATTACTTCCAGAACTCTCATGAACTTCAGATTCATAGACTAAAAATTTGTCCACAACTAGCCAAAGTCATGATAACCTCAAAATCAAAAAGAGTAAGGACTGTAGAATATTGAAACATACTGAATTAATGAAAAATCCGTAATTGCACAATCCTATTTCAAAAACAGAAGGACTGAAAAACTCATCTGTTACCATTCGAGACTGCTATTTTAAACAATTCTTTACTTTGAAAATTGGTGAAGGGAAGGATCAGGCACTTCTCTTTTATGAAATGCATTATGTGATAAGCAAATAACCCAGTTGAAAAGGAAACACTCTACTCTTTATACAAGAATACCAGCTATAAAATATAAAATGAGTGAAACAGAAAAATGTCATTTTGAAGCCTCTAATGAAAATACTGATTCAGGCAAGCATTAATTTGTGTTGATAAGTAGATAAATGGTTGGACAAGAAATAGCATTTGTATAATGCTAGAATAATAACACACTAGATTATGTCCTAGTGAAGAATATTTCAAAAGAAGGATTAGACTGTCTTTGCCTTTAATCAAGGGACCAATCTCAGCATTAATAATGGTGGGCTAACTAGGTGTCACACATCTTCTGATGTAGTTTAATTCATGTTGCATCACATCACTAATGATGCATTCTAATTCCAAATAATTAACTTGAATCATCAACCTTTTAGAACTTCTATTTACAGGAAATAGAAGGGATAAGTAAGCAACATAGCAAAGAGACTACCAGACTCATCCAGACAGTGGGATATTCTGGAGGGCAGTGGCCTGGTCTCTTAAGAGGTCAGCATCATAATCAAGGAAGAATAGATGGTCCAATCAAATGGCAAACATGGGTCTAGGTTGGAAACCCATAAGTACAACCAGCTGTAAAGAATATTTTGTTGTCAAATGGAGATGAATAGAATATGCATATTACATGAGATAAAGATTCACTGAAATGGAAAAGTGGAAATTAATGACTGGAAAAAAAAAGGTAAGTTATAAAATACCTTGTGCAAAAGGATCTCAATCACTAAAGAAAAAAATACGTATGTATATGCACAGAAAAAGTATGGAGGAATATGCACTAGAATAGTACAGTAGTGTTCTGGGTACTAAGAACGCAATGTCTTAATTTAAAAATTTTTGCTTGTATTTTCTAATTATATTTATTGAACTTTATATAAATTCATGTACTTATTAAATTTTATATATTTATGAAATATATATATATGAAATATATATATTTTATAAATCTTATATATTTATGAAAAATATATAGCATGCCTGAAAGCTCTACCAGATGTTTGAGATATCACAAACTTAACATGGCCAGTTACCTTAACATTAACATGTCAGTTTCCTCTAGAGTGTTCCTCATCTCAGTGAGGGCCACCAATTATTTTTCAGAAATCTTACCCTTGTCAACTTCCCACATCCCTCTCCTGCAACTACACCACATGTAACCAATCACCAAGTCCTGTTGATTTTATGGGTCAAAACTTGAATAAGGATTTTCAAGTTTTAACCCATAAAAATCCTTACATACTCCTCTCTTTTCCCTTCTCATGGTTTCCCACTGTTCTCAGGATAAGATCCAAATAGTTCACTCTGACTTATAAGACCTTAATCAACTAGTACCAACATAAGATGTCTCCAAAGACTGTCTTTTTTTTTTTTTTTGTACTTAAGATCCTGATTCATGGAGAAATCATTTCACTATCAACCTTCATATTTTGCAGCCACATTGTTGAAGGGTCATAGAAAGTTCCTGAGAAAAACCAAAGGGGTTTTGCCATTTGATTTTCAATGTTAAGATTTGCAGTGAAAGCAGGTGACACTTTATTCTTCTATTCCAGCACCACTTATTGAACGGTCCATTCTTTCTCCCCTAAAATGCAGTATCTGTCATAAATCAAGCTGCCGTATATATGTGGATAGATTTCTGGGATTTTTATTCTCTTCTATTCATTTATTTTTCGAACAATGTCTCAATACCACACTTAATTATGGGTTTATAAGAAACCTCCCCGCCTCCTTCCCTTTCTCTTCTGAAACTGACTGTTAAACAGGTTAACTCTTCACTGATACAGGCCAATGCTTCAATTGTATTTATTTTTTTGCACCTGTGGAGGATATGCTATGGATAAGTTTCTATTCTTACACAGTCCTCTTATTCCAAGGTCATCGATTGCATCTCAGTCTCAGAAGCAATACTGCAACAGCTTTAACAAGGAAGGCTGTGAAACTGGTAGTGAGGAATAAAAATCCATTATCACAGTAAGAAAAACATCTTTAGCATGCGTTCTGATGGTGAATCAAGGCTGGTTTCAATTACACAAAGGAAAATCCATTCTGATGTCTTTTTGCCATACATTTATGTACTGTGTTTTAGTTATGTGTGTCTGTTTTTGTATCCTCAGTATATCAGGGTAGTAAAATACCTAAGTTGGAATTCACATATTTACAAAATATGGCTCTAAAAAATCTTAAATATATCACCTTAAGCTGGAACTTAACTATTAAAAGAGAATACTTTGGGGGACTTGGGAAGAAGAATAATAAGCAAAGTTTACCTGGAAGTGAGGCTCTTTGAGTATACCAACCAGTTCTGCCACATTTTCATCCACATTTATTAAAGGAGTGATATCTTCAAGAATTTCATTGACTAATTCTAAGTTATTGTCACTGACAGCTTCTAGTTTTGAATCTTCTAGCCTCTCATGAGCCTGAAAAGATAACCATATATTAAAGTCATAACACACATTGTCTTGCTCCAGACCATGGTTTTCTTCTTGATTTTTCAAAAAGAATGTTTTAAAAATTGTTATTCCAAGGTTTGGTTCATTGAAACCAAATTGAATAGTCCAATCAGAGGCAATATATAGATTCTGTAGTAAATGTTATCATGCAGTATAATAAATCTTGGCTTCTATTCCTAACCTAAAAGTCATGGAAAACTTTTTTTAATTAAACCATGAAAAACTGAGTAGGTATGGGGAGCCTGGGTGGCTCAATCCATTGAGTGTCCACCTGTGGCTCAGGTCACGATCTCATAGTTCATGAGTTCCAGCCATGTGTCGGGCTCTGTGCTGAAAGCTCAAAGCCTGGAGCCTGCCTCAGATTCTCTGTCTCCCTCTCTCTCTGCCCCTCCCCACTCATGTTTTCTTTCTTTCTCTCTCTCTCTCTCAAATAAACATTAAAAAATGTTTTTTTTTTAAATTTTTTAAAAAAAGGAAAAAGAAAAAACTGAATAGGTCAAATGACAATTTAAAAAACATTTTTTTTTTAATTTTTTTTTTCAACGTTTTTTATTTATTTTTGGGACAGAGAGAGACAGAGCATGAACGGGGGAGGGGCAGAGAGAGAGGGAGACACAGAATCGGAAACAGGCTCCAGGCTCCGAGCCATCAGCCCAGAGCCCGACGCGGGGCTCGAACGCACGGACCGCGAGATCGTGACCTGGCTGAAGTCGGACGCTTAACTGACTGCGCCACCCAGGCGCCCCTAAAAAACATTTTCTAGCCAATATAAATTCCTCATGACTTTCTTATCTAGGCTCAAACTCTAGATGATACTGCATATGCTTTATGAAAATAAATTATAAATAAAAACAAAAAAAAAGGAATATAATCATTATATGGACTGCCATTAAAAAATAATAAAAACCATTCTGGGAGCACCAGAATCCTAAAGCTACCATTTTCCAACTTTGAAAATCAGCAAAATAGTGTCAATTCAGGGAAGGTAGCTCTTGAACTGGACCTTCAAAGACTGTATGATTTTGTTAGGGGGGTGACCCTCTCATATTTCTGTATTAAGTTGCCTTTTTTTTTTTTTTTTAATCTTACAATCTTTTCCATGCAAAATGGACTGTGAATCACACTGTCACAGAAAATAAGTAGGTTTCAATAGTGAGGGTAAAGCAGAGTTTTAAATTCAAACTGGAAGGGCACCTGGAATGCTCAGTCAGATGAGCCTCTGACTCTTTATTTCAGCTCAGGTCACAATCCCAGGGTCTTGGGATCAAGCCCTCGCTGGGCTCCACACTAAGCCTGGAGCCTGCTTAAGATTCTCTCATCGTCTCTCCCTCCTTCCCTAAACTTACTCCCTCTGACCCCCTCCCCTGCTTGCACACTTGCAAAATCGCTTTCCAAAAAAAAAAAAAATTCAAACTGGAAATGAATGCTAAATATTCTCTATTTTTTAAAAATGTTTATTTATTTATTTTGAGACAGAAAGAGTGAGTAGGGACGGTGCAGAGAGAAGGAGAGAGAAAGCATCCCAAACAGGCTCTGCGTCATCAACACAGAGCCCAGTGTAGGGCTCAAACCCACAAACTGTGAAATCATGACCTGAGCCGAAACCAAGAGTCAGATGCTCAACAGACTGAGCCACCCAGGTGCCCGGCATTCTCTCTCTTTTAATTGCTCTTTGTTTTTCTGATAAATGGTTGCTCTCTGATTTTGAAGACAAAGCAGAGCATAACTGTTAAGATTTAATGTATAAATGAAATGATGTAAGATCACAAACCTTATATTTAATATTTTAAGATCAATTTCTCTAAGTACTCAGGAAAAATCCAAGTTTCAAGTGGTAACAGTATCGGTTAAGCTTTATCTGCACCTATAATACTTCAGCTGTTATTGTTACCACAGAGTGGATCCTTCAAAGACAAATACAGATTCTAATTTTTAAAATGCAATTTTTTTCATTTAAATGTATTTCCTCTAAGTGACTCACAAGAGTGAAGTAAGAGCTTAAGTAGAAGAGGCGGACATATATTAAGCAACATTTCTAAGAAATACCTCAGAAGAAGAAATTTAAGTCATATGAAGACAGAAGAAATTATAACTGTTATTAAACGAAGAAAAATGTCAAAAGACCAAGTGTAATTTACAGAAAGCAGTTTCTATTACATTTGGATAAGAAAAAAATAGATAAAAAAATTAAGATTAGAAAACGTCACAAAGAATGGAATGGATAAATTTGTAATTTTCTGAAAGCATAACACAAGCCTAATAAGGATAAGATGATGAGGACACTCAATATGTATCATAAAATGATTATGACCATTGGAAAAAAACTAAAATAACAGACATAACTAGCTAACTCTTACAAAACAAACTAGACTTGCTTATTACTTTAATACAAATATTCGCTGTTAACAAATACTGAATTTAGCATCATTAACCTTGCTAACCTTGTTTAACCTCTTATGGTAGTATAAGAAAGTTTAAGCAAAAAAAAAAGGAAAGAAGCTTAACATTTATTGAGGGCTGTGTGTGTGTGTGTGTGTGTGTGTGTGTGTATGTGAGGGAGGGAGGGAGAGAGAGAGACACCATGTTCTCAGTGCTGTGTGAGTGAATGAGTGTGTGTATATGTGTATATCAAACAAAGATAGATGTGTTATTATCTTCACCTTATAAACACTCATGCAAAGTAAGATAAAGTGATTTGCTTGAATTCATACTACTGATAAGTGGCAGTCAGGTAGTCTAGTATCAAGGCATATCTGACTTGATCACTATATAGACAGCCACTGTGGTTAATTATTCCATCTACTATATGATGTATCATTCTAACTCATTTTAACTGTGTGAGATATGCTCTCATTGACTGCTAGTAGAGTTGCTGCTTCTTAACATGTTTTTCTAGTCCAGATGTGGTGTTAATTATGTTCTACTACATCTGTCCTCATAGTTATTTTATACTCCTATGGTTCAGAATAAAACCCACCCCTTCAACCTGTACCCTTTGTACTCCAAATAAGAGGTATAAAAACACCACCTATTTCTCCAGGAAAACAGATAATGACTGGCTTACAGTTTTTAGGTAGTAAGTCAGTATATTTTCTATAACATCCTATGATTATGTAACATTATCAATTCAAGACACTGGGACAAGTAAAGAAACCAAAATGATCACTGACTTGAGAACGCTAATAAACCCTTCGTTTCTATGTTCATCTACCTTACTGCTCCCAAATTGGGTGAGGACACATGGGAATGTGGAAAGACCCACAAGAAAGAGGAAGTAAGTAGGAGGGCAGAATTATGTTATAAAAACAAACATACGGGGCGCCTGGGTGGCACAGTCAGTTGAGCGTCCGGCTTCAGCCAGGTCACGATCTCGCAGTCCGTGAGTTCGAGCCCCGCGTCGGGCTCTGGGCTGATGGCTCGGAGCCTGGAGCCTGTTTCCGATTCTGTGTCTCCCTCTCTCTCTGCCCCTCCCCCGTTCATGCTCTGTCTCTCTCTGTCCCAAAAATAAATAAACGTTGAAAAAAAAAATAAAAAAAAATAAAAACAAACATACCTGAAGGTTTTTTCACATGAACTGCACAGACTGGTTCTGTAGTAGGAGAAGAATATCACCACACAATACAGAAATTCTCAGAAAAAAGCTTTTTAGTGAAACTGTAGCTGTAATTATATTAACACAGAAAGCCAATTTCTTAAAAAAATATTTTCATAATGTTTATTTTTGAGAGAGAGCGCAAGTGGTGGAGGGGCAGAGACAGAGGTGGACAGAGATGTGAAGCGGTTCTCCGCTGACAGCAGTGAGCACAGTGCAGAGCTTGAACCCATGAACTGCAAGACCATGACCTGAGCCGAAGTCGGATGCTCAACCAACTAAGCCACCCAGGCACCCCGGAAAGCTCATTTCTGAAATACAGTTGGGGCTATCAAGATCAACTTTAGTTTTTCCAAGAAAGCAAGTGTAGGTCCATATTTGTTAACTACGTAGATTTTTAAGCTCTAAGATACTGTGAAAGAAGCTGGGACCTCTATTCATTTTAAAGTCAGAATATATTTACTAGCTTTTAAGAGGCAAGTACCAACTTGAATTTAACTAATCCAACCAAAAAAAAAAAAAAAAAAAAGGAAATACTAAAAACTGACCAGAAGGACAGATGAATCATTAGCTATTTGAATAAATGGGTCTTGTTTCCTTTAAGAAAAAGCATTATTAGAAAGCTAGCATAATTGGGGCACCCAGGTGGCTCAGGTCATGATCTCACTGTTTGTGGGTCTGTCTAATGATGGGCTCTGGTGCTGAGCCAGCCCAGAGCCTGAGTCTACTTTGGATTCTGTGTCTCCCTCTCTCTCTGTTTCCCACTGCTTCAAAAATAAAGATTGAAGGGGTGCCTGGGTGGCTCAGTCGGTTAAGCGTCTGACTTCAGCTCGGATCATGATCTTGCAGTTCTTGGGTTGGAGCCCTACGAGGGGCTCTGTGCTGACAGTTCAGGGCCTACAGCCTGCTTCGGATTCTGTGTCTCCCTCTCTCTCTGCCCCTCACTGCTCGCTCACACACACACACTCTCTCTCTCTCTCTCAAAAATAAACATTAAAAATTAAAAAAGATTAAAAAAAGAAAAAAAACGAGCATAACTTAATAAAAATATATTCCACTTGCCACACGGGTTGAAAGAACATGCCACAACTGGCTTTGTAGAACACCTGGAGTTGACACAAATATGGCCTAATCTACCTGGTAGGTCCAGTTCTGAGAAACCTATTCACCACTGCATCTTAGAAAAATGACCTACAGAGAGGAAAAAGTTCTTTCAGGACTTTTAGGTATTTTATATTGGCATAGTCTAACAATGCTTGCAAGCAAATAATAATAATAATAATAATAATAAAAAGTCTAACAGAAGCTGTGGGCTATAATAAAGAGACAAATACTACTATTTATTATATTGTAGCTAATACTATTATCATTTTGT